TCATCCGGGTCACGGCACCAATGTAGCCGGTCTGGGCCTACTTCTCAGCAGACCCTTGCTACGACTCTGCGTTGTGTTGTGCGTGTTTGATGGACAAGGAAATTTGGTTGTTGTCTTTAACCGAAACTTTGGCGTATTTATTCCTCTGCATGAAATAAACACAATAATGCAGCAGCATTAATACACATGGACGTCTGCAACACACCAGTCTCAGTCTGCCATACAAACAACTGAGTGAGACTAGTACTTATAAAACATTCAGATATCAAATCTGTCACAATAGATCACAATACACTGTACAATTACAGTTACACTGGAAATGTATACACCACCGGCTAATTAGTATTTTTAGACATGTAAATAAAACAATAAAATAAACACATAGTACAAAACACAATAGACCAAAAACATGGGAGCAACAAACATACCTGCATGAAATAAACACAATAATGCAGCAGCATTAATACACATGGACGTCTGCAACACACCAGTCTGTGGTGGGGAAAAGACGCCATTAAACATGCTGCAGGTGCTGTGTGTGAGTCCTCACAAGTGCTGCTAAACAGTACACTTAACTAAAAGTTTGCTAAAACACTCAAACTTCTGCAAAACAACTACACAGCAACACATTAGCACCATGGAATGATATTATAACCTTGTTTCACAGTTTAAGATTATATAAACACTGTAAACATCATTTAGAACAGAAATCTACAAAGAGCACATGACAAACTCTCCTCACCTCAGTCTGCCATACAAACAACTGAGTGAGAGAGGGTGCAACGCAGGTAGAGGACGTCACTGCCGAAAGTGAAGACTTCAAAATAAAAGTATTAGCTCCCAAAACGGTCTTTTGTAGTAAACATACCAAAATAAAAGTGACAATAAATAATATTGGAACAATAAAATAAAATGTGAGGGATTATTGGTGGAATGCATTCCTGTATATTTATATACCTGCTACAGTGGCATAAGCCGTTTATTTTTCAAAACAACAGGAAAACGTCTGCCTGGCCTCCAGAATGATCAATAACAGCGAACGAATGGTCAAAGTAAGGTAAAAAGATAAAGAATCACACGAAGCCTGGTTACTGGTTAGTGTTGCCTGACTTTATAAAGTGTGTTTTTTTTATAAGTGTGTGGTTGCCTTCTAGTCACTTTGCTCAGCGCTACTGCTTGTTACTTTCATTTGCCGTACTCGCTATTAACTGTTATTGCTCAGATTAATCTCGCCCCGCCTCCGACGTAAGTGTGAAGTATTAGTTATTGGTTCTTGCCTGGCAGCCGAGTGGGGCGAGCTAAGAACCGTTTTTCGGTGCTTAGAACCGGCTCCGCTGCAGCTGAAACCAGAGCTAAATCAGGCTCTAGTGCCCCTTTTTGGTGGAAAAGGGGCACTAGAGTACCCTGGAAGCGAGGGGAGCTCTGAAAGAATATACGCCCATTGGCTACAAATCAATATATGATTGGTTGATTAAACTGTCAATCCAAATGTACGTTCTCCTTCAGTGTAAGTCCAGGGCATTCTATCAAGGATATAGAATACCTTGTTTGAAGGATATTCTACCCAGAGACCCAGAAAAATATCTGATTGGTTGCATTTTTTTTCACGCAAAACCACTGAAATGCGTAGTGCATGGACCGAGAAAGACAAACAAATCAACGTAACACTGTAATATTACAGATCAACAACACAGATACGATTCTCATTTATTCATTTCATTTAAATGTTATTCAATTGTATTTATATAATTAAATCGATTTTTAGTTGGTTTTATCTGAGTGTTCCAGGGTATTCTCTGAATACCTTGAAGGCCCTGAGGGTTCACCACTGACTATCACCATTGTTAGCACTGCTACCAATACACTGCTATCCTGATGACCTTTGTTTATTCTTTATTATTATTATTCTTTAATATTACTATTATTATTGTACAATTATTGTTTTTATTTGTACTTCTTAGTTGTTGTTTTTCGTTTGAGCTCAGCCCTGATGGATTATTTAAAGGGTTGGGATTGTCAGGATTCTTATGTTATGTCACGTTTGTAGTTTTGTATGTTTAGGTTTATTTTGCTGTTCTCCCTTTCTTGTTTTCTTCCTGGTTTATTGTCTGGTCCTTTTCCCTGTGTTTTTCCTCCTGTCGTTAGTTTCCCTGGTGTGTCTAGTTGTCTGATTGTGTTCACCTGTGGTCCTTGTGTTTCTCCTCCCCTGCACGGCTGTTTCTCGTCTTGTGATTACCCCTCCCTGTATTTAGTCTTGTCTTTTCCTGTGTTCAGTGTTGGTTCGTCTTTTGTTTGTGAATGAGTTCACCGGTGAGTGTTCTGTTTTTTGGTCCAAGTTATTTTCTTTTTATCCTTGAAATAAAGATTAATCAGAGTTATCTGCATTTGGGTCCTGCTTCTTTCACTCAACCGTAACAGGGTTCTGTTTTTTGTTGTATTTTAAGTGTTAATAACTATGTAAAACTGGGTGAACTAAACTTGTAAAAGTATGATTTGTATGCTTCAATATCACAATAAAAAAATTGCTCCAAAAAATAAACAGAAATAATTTATATTAAATACATTAATTAAAGAACAAAAAAGTTATTTATTATAGCACTTTGGTTTTAAAATAGTGTCTTACAAACAGTGTGTTGTGTATTAGCTTTGGCCTTTTTTACTGTGTATAGATATATTTATTTGATATGTATTGGTTGGTTGATCTGTCCATCACTTTACCAACCCTTTGTCATGGCTCTGCCTTTGAGCAAGCATTGAACAGCTTATAAATAAGTCAAACAAAAATGAGGTGCATAGTTTTACTTATATATGTATAAACATGGGCAAAGCCTGACATTAGGCTGTTCATGGGATAGTACCAGGTTATAAATGATTGTATTCTGTTTTGTATTGGTGTCATAAGCTACTTTTCAATACTGAAGCGGTATAGATATAGCCTTACATGATACAGATACATAGAGAGGAACATCTCTTCTTTTGGCACATTTTCCTTTCTCCACTCTCTTCCTCCTTATCTGCCTTCTGTCTGTGTTAATGTCTTGTGTGTATGAGCCATCCTTTTGTCTTATTCTAATAGTTATCATGAAACTTGGATTGGCTTAGTTGTGGCTTTGAAAATAGCATTCTTAGGCTGCCATCTAGTGACAAAAGCTGTGCACACATTAAAGGTAAAAATTGAAAAATAACTTGTTAAAACGCCATAACATAGAGAGGATCAATTTACAAATCTAAAATCCAAAAGTTAAGCTTTTGAAATCTGAGCCTCAGGTTGCATGCTGGTGAATTGCAATGTTTGCTGTCCATTACAGTTTAACTTGGATCTGAAATCGAGGCCAATGAGCGGAAGCACAGGCCACAGCGCGATAAGAGCGGAAAGAAGCCTGTTGTTTCAGTGTGACCCAGCCTCACAGCTTGCTTGGATTCAGACCAAACCGCAGACTTTACCCTATCCACAAATAAAAAACTTGCAATTTGACGGTACATTTGGTAGCACTTTATGTAACATCATTTTTGCAACGTGATCAATATAAGACACACATGTCTATAGGCATGAGCCAAGGTTCACTGAGAGTGGACCTGTTGCCTCTGCCACACACAACAACAATATCACTACTGTACTTTTACTACTGCTACCTCTAATAATACTAACACTACAACAGCTATTACTACTGTTTGTATGTTAACTACATCTTCATCCAGGGCTGCAGAAAACACTCAACAGAAGCCGAGTCAAAAGTAAATGCACTGCATCGATATAGTGCTTTTCTTTGTGACCCTCATAGAGCTTTTCATATACAAGTCAGTATTCACTCATTCACACACATCCATACAGAGGCACAGTGCAAGACCGAGTACAGCTCTGTCACGAGAACCATTTCCCCCGGGAATTATTAAAGTATTTATGCGTGTCACTGCAGATAGTTCACTACTACTGCATTGTTTCTTTATAGTCATTGATACTACTGGTACTGATTTATAACCTTGTATAAGATACAATAACACATTGCCTTGCCTACTACTGCTTCTACTACTATGACTACTGCTACTACTACTATGACTACTACTACTACTACCACTACTACTACTACTACTACTACTACTAGTAATACATTGGTATTTCCTTTATTTATTAAGGAAGCAAAACCACAATGTAAATCACATTTCCTGTACATCTATTACAAGTACTACAAGTAATAAAAGTGCAAGTACCGATTGGAATGTTAATGCACAGTGTAGCAAATTCAAAGTACTTAAGGTAGTGGTAGCTGATCCACAACTGTGACACATATTACAAAATCTCATCAATATAAACTACAGTCCACCACTGTGCTACTAGTATTAGCAAAAATACATGCTGAGGGACCTGGTTTCATTATGACTAACTATTCGTTTGGTAGCAGTTACCTCTCCTCTCGTGAAGTTGTAAAGAGTACACATTTAAATCTGTGGTTAGGTATGTATAGTCGTATTGAAAAAGGTTTCCTGCCACTGAAGAAAATGTCATGAGTCAAATGTTATACACAAGAAGGAACACAACAAGTATCTTAGCTATATTACTTGGCCGAGCTTTGAGAGAGGGGTTCGTCTCGGCCAATGAGGGCTGGGATTCAGTTGGATGGTGCAGGGGTGTGTTGTGGTCTGCTTCGTGGAACTGGCTTTGGGGAAGAGGGTTATCTGCTGCTGATAAGGGTCACGTTTAAAAAGCTGTGTGAGGATGAACTCACTTCACACTGACGGCAGGAGGGAGCCTCACAGGATTTGACAAACCATGCTGCTGCTCGTGGTCTCCGTGTCCCTCACCAATATGTTATTTGCTGTTGGAGTGGTTTGCGTGCCCCTGCCTGAACAGGGGCCCCCCACCTCGCACCACTGGGGCCCAGTGGTGCGGCTGCGGCACCTGTACGCCGCCCGGCCCGGGCTCCACCTGCTGATCAGCGGGGACGGACAGGTCCACGGCTCGGAGCAGCAGACCCCACACAGTAAGTCCAGCACTTCAGAACACCTGCTGCTGAATCACTGGTGACTGCAGGGGCTTGTGGGAGTTCTCACTTTGATCCACATGTGCCTGCAGGCCTGCTGGAGATCAGTCCGGTGGAACCAGGCTGTGTAGTGATCCGAGGAGTCGCAGCCTCAAAGTATCTCTGCATAGAGCCTGACGGAAGGCTGTACTCAACGGTAAGATTCCCCATGACAGACTGTGTTTATTCATAATGTTAAATATATATATTTGCAGAAGTTAATTATTTGGGATCAAAAAATTAATTCATTTGTTTATTCATAAAAATAAACTAATGTAAATGAAATGATAAGTGAGGTCAAATATAAATGTGTCTAATTACCACAACAGAGGGAAAATAATAATAAGGCTAAATATGAACCAATCAGTAATCGAATATGTATCTAACTAGTGTACAATCCTAATAGAAACGGTATTCTATAGTCCCATTTGAAATGTATTATTGTGAAATCTTTGCTTTACTGTAACATGTTACAACTGCAAAACAATGAGCCCAAACTGATGTTTTCAAATTAGAGTAACTTTAGAAAGAGCATCATTTAACAGATTTCCACACATTTAACAGAAATGAAATATTTTGTTTAAGAATGAAGACACCTTTCACCTCCTACCAGCCGATATCACATACTGTGATCTATATATTTTCACTGTAAAAGCCACTGCAGAACTTTATAATTTCACTTAAATTGATATTCTTCCTTTATGCTCAGGGGAAAGCTATACTTTATGTAGTTTAAATGCCAGCTTTTCCTATTTGAGCTTCTTCACATGTGTTCACTGGGTGTTTCAGCAGCATCATGTATTATCCTCTGTTAGGCTGCTTACTTTATTCCATTAATGTTGGCTATTTTGACTCAAATAAGATCTAAGATTAGATAGATAGTATTATTGTTCACTATTTACTATTGTTACAAAAGAGTAAACCAACGGTTATCTTTTATTTATTCTATTTATTTTATTGTAACGTGTACAGTCTAAAACAGAATTGTCACCATTTGACACGCTGTAGCATATTATATCTTCAGATAATTCTCATCTTTAGTTCTTTGGCAGGTTAAAATAAGACAAACAGTACAAAATAAACACATGATGCAGAGTTATACAAAAACAAACGAAATGATACATTGGTGTCGGGTAAAGTCATGCAGACAATGAGATCAAATCCAAGGTCAGTGACATAGCAGCTTTTAAAAAAAAAAAAAAAATAGCTTTAAAAACGCAGCAATGTATCTAAAAGAAATGTGCCTAACCGACATATTCAAACATTACTGAAGAAATATTACTGTAGCCTGCGACCTGAAGTTTCTTCATGTTGTTAATCTGCTCCGTGTTGAGAAAACACTGCAGGCCAGTCAGTCATTCATTAAAACGGCTGGTTCGTGAACCTTTGCCCGTGTGGTGCAGGGCAGGATGTGTTTGCAAAGTGAAAAGCTGAATGAAAGTCAGCAGCAACAACAACCTTGGCCTCTGACTGGCGCTCTGATGCCAAAGCAAACAGCCGTCGAAGAACTCGCAGCCTGATTCACATTTGTTTTGGGCTTTTTCTTGATAAAAGGGGCCTATTGAATACTATAGAAAAGTGCTATTTTAATTTAGGAATCACTTTGCTGCCCCAGCTACTTTCTTGCCTGCAATCATACCAGTGAAAATAATCAGCTTAGAGCTTAAAGGTCCCATGTCATGCTTTTCCGGTTATCACCCGTCCCCTTGTGTGTTATGAAGGTTTTTCTGCATGTAAACGGTCTGCAGAGTCACAAACCCTCAAAGTACACCCTCTAAGGAGTAGAACTCTAACACAGAAAAGACCTCTCTGTGCTGCCCCAAAACGCCTCGTTGGAGATTTCTCTTTTTCCATTGGGGGGGTGCTAGTGGATCCTCGCAGCGGCGAAACTGTGGAGCGCTTACACTGTAGGTGCGCCGCGTTTGGGGGTGCGGGGGTTGCGGGGGCTAGCGGAGCCTCGCAGATGGGGGTGCTACAGCCCCCTCAGCATCCCCCCCTTCCCGCGTCCATTCGCGATGTCTCGCTGTCTCGCAGACCCCACGCAGCAAGCAGGAAATGCTCCTCGCAGCAGCGAGCCCCGCAACGTCCCGCCAACACGACACCCAGACCCCACGCAGCATTCTCATCTGTTGTCCACTGGTGTCATTTTCTGGTTGCTAACGCCATTGAAACACATAATCACTGATGTTCAGCTGTAACGGTGGTGGACTCATCCGAACAGAGTGGGCGAGGTGACCAATCAGAGCACAGTGGGCTCACAGGGAGGGGGGGCAGGAGCTCCAACAGCCGTTTAGGACAGAAAGTGAATACACATACTTTACAGAGATGCTGTATGAGAAACCTATGTGAGTTTGGAAAATTGAACAATGTAAATCTATTCTAGTACACCTCAACAATGGAAATATGATCAGTAGAAATGGCCATGACATGGGACCTTTAATATAATAAAATATACATGGGTAAAAATGTCTAGCAACATGTTAAGGTAAATGGTGAATGTTTTATTAATTAACAGTTTAAAAAATACAAATAAAAGTCCATTACATTACATATCTTTTGGGGATTTTCACTCTGATGCACAGTTTTTTAAAATCTTATCTCAGTTGTAGGGTCTGTACAAATATAACCGACTTGTTTTGAGAATATTTATCCCACATATTCCTCGAGAGGAAAAGACTCTGTCAGGGTTGGGGAAAAATAGGACCCAAATGCAGATTGAGGAGGAAGAAGGTTTCAAAAGGAAACAAAAGGCGAGGTTTATTTAACAAAAGCTGAACAAAAACAAGAATCCAAGAACAGGTACGAGGTAGCATCCAAACAAATGTGACTGTGACCAACATGAAGGGGGACATGAACGACAAACAATGAACCAACACTGAACACAGGAAGAGACAAGACTAAATAGAGGGAGTGGTAATCACGAGACGAGAAACAGCCAGGCAGGGGAAGAGAAACACAAGGGCAACAGGTGAACACAATCAGGGACACCAGGGACACTAACGACAGGGAGGACAGAACAGCAAAATAACCCCAAAACTAGACACACAAAAATTCAAACCCCGACATAACCCCACAACCCCCTCAAGGGATGGATTCCAGACGTCCCTACACAAAGTCAAACACTTCAAACAGGGTGGGTGGAGGGGGTCAGGAGGACGGGTCTGGATCAACAGCCCAGGAAAGGCATAGTTCCTTGAGGGGTTCACGGGCGGACGGCC